GGTACTTTTACTTGAGTACAGGCCCGGATTGGCTAATCGGGAGGCCCGGGAGAATTCCCGGTGGGCCGGTCCGTTTTTTGGCCACGAGGGCCGGTGTCCCTAGCTCCAGAATCAGATGCTCTCAGCAATCCCCCTTTTTAAATTTATTTATTTACTTGACCACAGATTTTTTATTCATTATTATCCCGCAACTCTTGTGTGTCATCATCCGTAAATCTGTATATATATATATATATATATATATATATATATATATATATATATATATATATATATATATATATATATTATTAAAAATATATAGATATAGATACAAAAGTCTTGTCGTTGATCTCAGTTGTAAGAGCAACAAAATAATAACTTGACTTCTAGTTGATCCTTTAGTAAAGTGGCAGAAGGTCGATTTTTTTTGATGAATCTGTTGAACTGCATCCCAATCATCACAAATACTGTAAACACATTACTAATACTCGCATGGACCCAAGATGAAAGTTGTATAATAAAAATATAATTTTTTCTTATTACTAGATTTTTTTGATAACCAGATATATCCCCGATACCGAAGAGACATTTTTAATGCCTTTCATGAGTGTCGTGTGTTGTATTTCTGCTTGACGTTGCGTCTCTCTCTCTCTGTAGGCTGTTCAGAATGCTGTCGGTTCTCTGTCTCTGCTGTCTCCCAACAAACTGCTGCCGCGGGTCATGGATCACGTGACCCAGCGATTGTCCAATCCTGCACTGAGTCTGGTGACGCGTCAGGAATACGCAATCATGCAAACTCCAGAGGGAGAACTTTACGACAAGAGCATCATTATGAGGTAAAGTCTGCATGAATGGGCTCCTTCAGTCTTGAATGGAGATTCACACGTGTGTGTGTGTGTGTGTGTGTGTGTGTTTGGTCTGCAAGTGTAGTATAAACCCTGATGTGTTGTTTTGTCAGTGCACAGCAGGAGAGCACAAAGAAAGGCAACATGAAGAGAGAGAATAAAGCGTATTCCTTCAAAGAGCAGATCATTGAACTGGAGCTTCAGGAGGTGAGAACTACATGACTGATGAACCACTAACACAGAGGCCTCGTTTACACGAATGCGTTTTAGTTTGAAAACACATAAGTTTTGCTACGGTTACGCCATCCATCCACACTCCGCCAGAGTTTTCGAGCACAGAAAACGGGGCATTTTGGAAATGCTGGAGAGGCCTTTTTCATTCTAAAACGCTGCTGCTCTGACTCAGTGTGGATGGGGGAAAACGGAGACATCTGAAAACAGAGGTGTGGCTGCTGAGATTCGCTATCTGATTGGGGATTTTGTTTCATTGCGTATCCTTCTCTTATTCGTCAAGCACCTGTCACATGACTTTAACACATGGCTTTAACGCTACCGGAACACAGCGTACCTGCCTTCACTGTAAACAACAACATGGACACAGAAATGGGAGCGTGGTTTGCACTATTTTCTGTTTTAGGCACCATTGTGCAGTTTTTTTATTTGTTACGTTTAGTAACAACTCGACCTCGTCGTCTGTCCACAAAACTATTTCTCTTGCTTTCTTTGCCATCGCGTTCATTGTTCAACCGGCGTTTGTTAACTAACAACCAAATGCCGAGCGAGACACATGCTTCCTGTTTATGCTTGAACACGCATGCAAAGAGTGTGCGAATGGTCACGTCAGATGCCTTTTTATTTGGCGTAGCAGGGGCGGCGATATGTTCAGAAACGCTAGTGTGGACGCGGATCGTTTTTGATCTTAAATCAGTTTTAAAATTAAACGCACTAGTGTAAACGGGGCCGGAGAAGGGAATGAGATGTTTTATTGTTTTATAGATGTTAACATGTTTTATTTTTTAAAGTGTGTTTTATTTTGGAAAGTGTGTTTTATTTTGGAAAGTGTGTTTGTGTGTTGTGTGTTTGTGTTTTAGGAGATCACAAACACACTTGCCATGCTTGCCATGTGTTGTTGATGTAAGATTGTATTCTGATTGATCGGAATATTCATATTGATTAGAACGAGCAGGCGTGAGAGCTGTCACTGCGCACACACACACACACACACACACACACATTTTGTTATTTAACCTACTATTTTTATGCAACAGTCAAGTTGCATGTTAATTTGCTTTAAAGAAAAGTAGGGTAAAATGGGGTGACGTGGTCATATTTGCAACCATTTTTGAGGATTTCGAGCTCCCTGAGATTTGGCGATGTTATAAAACTAAGACTCTGTAAGTGGGAAGTTATAAAAGCATGGTTTACTGTCTCTCGTAGCTTTTCAGGCCAAACGTGTTTTATTTTGGAAAGTGTTTGTGTTTTAGGAGATCAAGAAGAAGAAGGGCATCAAAGAGGAGATCCAGCTGACTAGCAAACAGAAGGAGATGATGCAGATCCAGCTGGAGAAAGAGTCTACTATCCGCAAGCGTCTGCAGGAGGTGAGAGCTCATACAGCAGCAGCAGTGATGGTCTGAGCTGCGCTGATCAAAGCGCTGATCTGCTATTTTGTGTGTTTGTGTGTGTGTTCTGTCAGCTGGACATGGAGCTGCTGTGTGCTGTGGGTTTGCTGGAAGCCGCTCTGGCTCGTCGTCCTCCGCTCATCTGGATGCACCTTCCAGCACTGGTGCAGGTTCTCCTGCCGCTCCTGCAGTCTCCTCTGGCCGCTTCGTTGATAAAGCGTGTGTTTCTGCAGATCGGTGTCACTCTAATGCCTAAAGAACTGCACCAGCTGGGTGAGTCGCATTTAATTCAACTTTATTTGTATAGCGCTTTTCTCTATAATTATTGATTCAAAGCAGCTTCGCAAGAGGTGCACATTATTGCATTACAATCAAAATCAGAAAAAGTTAAGGTTATTAGTAGGGATGCACGATATATCGGCGGCCGATAAATGCTATTTTTAAAATTATCATTATCGATGTCTAAATTAGGCTGATATCTTTAAGCGGATAAATTATGTAATTGTACAGACCTGCCTGCCTTGCAAATGTGTAAGCGGAACTTGTCTAGACTTGCCCAGTGCACTGTAATGGATCTCTCCTCACATTGTTTATTCCTTCAAAGTCCGTCCTTTCTTCATGTATTATTGCTGTGCATTAATAACCCAGTAAGTAACCATGTTCCTTATGATTGTAGATATGTTTGATTGAGTGTCATTGTGCTTTAAATCACCTCAGGAAAAATATGACATCTGTAAACATAACAGCGGCGATGCACACATGCTAAACAACTTGTTGGGTTGTTTGTAATCCGATATGGTTATTTGTTATTATCAACGCGTTGTTTGCCATGTGTTGTTGATGTAAAATTGTATTCTATTTGATCGGAATATTCATATTGATTATATCGAGCATGCGTGAGGGCTTTCACCGCACACACACACACACACAAACACACTCTGATCTGACAGCCTTCATAGCAGCACCGTGGAGAGATGCGCCGGTCACTGAATCCAGCATAGGGGCTCTCAACTCACCGCCACGTGCTGTCTTTATATTATGCTCTGTGTTTGTCTGTGAAGTCATCTGCTCAATGCTCAGGTTTTGTATCAAAATCTGACTCCTAGGGCAAATCTGCGCTCTTTAGTTAAACTCACATCGGTTTATCATAAACTTTTCATTGACCATTTTTCCCGCTATTGACTGCAAGGACGAACATAGAAGTGTTGTCTGATTGACAAGCAGCAGCTTCATGTGTTCAAAAACGCCAAATAGGATGAATCTATGTCTCATTTTCTAAAATAATACAGTCTGTATTCAGCTTTTCGTTTGTACGGTGGCTCTAAACTGTCAAAACACCTCTAAAAAAGCTTTTTCAGACATGACATATTTGTACATGTGTACATCACTGTACCACGTTTGATTCAAGAACATTTGAGCTCGTTTCAGTCCTTAGCTCTTTCATTTTCATTTTATTTAAAATATATTTAACTTGCATGTTAATTAAATCCCATTTTGTGATTTAACCTATTATTTTTATGAAACAGTCAAGTTGCATGTTAATTTGCTTTAAAGAAAAGTAAATAGTTAATTTTTTGCTTGCTGATTTATGTGAAATTGTGAATATAGGTTAATAATATCACCTTGCAGTTTTGAAAATATAGCTTTTTTGTTTTTACTAAAGACTATTCAGTTCATAAGAGCAGTTCAATCTTTTATGAAGTTTGCTGTAGAAAAGTATAACATTTTGAAATATTTATAATTATCGGCATATACATATCGGCTATCGACCTTCAAGTCTGAAGAGTTATCGATATCGTCCAAAAAAATCCATATCGGTGCATCCCTAGTTAATAGTTACCATAAAAATGAATTAGTTGCTAATAACTTGAACTAATTAACCTGTAACTAATAGCTTTTAACCAGTAGAGTAGTTGTATATAGGCATAGTTCTATAGTATATAGGCGATGTTTGTGTTGATGTTCAATGAAATGTATTTGTATGTTATGTGTATGCAAGTGCAACCTTTATGTTGGTTTATATTGCAATTTACTCTTGTTATTTTTTAAGGTTTGGTGCCGTGTCAATGTGACTCAAATGTCTGTGTTGATTTTTAGCGGTTCTGGTGGGTCATGTGACCTTGCGTCTGCTGAAGCCAGAGTGTGATTTGGATCCAGCCTGGGCCCAAGAAGACCTGAACACAGCGACACAGCGAACCATCTCACTGCTGCACCAAAGAGACGGCAAAACAGGTGAAAAACACACACACTGACAGATCGCTTTCCTAAACTACATCACAACAGGTTTGAGGACTTTATAGTGCAGATATAACAAGCCTTAAAGGGGTAGTTCACCCAAAAATTAAAATTTACCATTTACTCAGCCTCAAGTGGATCCAAACTTTAGTTTCTTTCCTCTGAACACAGAAGCAGACATTTTTAATAAAGCTGAAAACCTGTAACCAGTGACTTCCAAAGTCGGAAAAACATATACTATGAAAGTCAATGGTTACAGGTTTCTTTAATGTTTAACAGATGGGAGAAACTCATAAAGGTTTGAAATGAGTAACAGGTGAGTAAATTATAATAAAAAATTTTCATTTTTGGGTGAACTATCCCTTTAAGCAATGTTTATAGTACATACAGTTATCACAGAATAAATCCCAACAAGCTTATCAGTAGCCCGACACAAAGTGGAGCACTGTTGTATTAGACTTTTTAAGAGCTTTATTATTTAAAAACAACCACCAGGATGTACTTTATCCAGCTTATTACATGGCTACTTGCCACAAAGTGTAAAATTTAGACACTAAACTGAGCCTTAATAGTTGATTAATTCTTAAACCAATGGCAGGTCACTGCATAATGCTGGTGGAGGGAAACATTTCCTGCCTCACTCCTCCAAAATACCCCAAAGGGGCTCAATAATATTTAGATCTGGTCACTGTGCAGGCCATGAGAGATGTTCAACTTCACTTTCATGTTCATTAAACTACCATATCATCAGTCTTGCTGTGTGTAGTGGTGCACTATCATCCTTATACATGGCACTGTCTTCAGGATAAAATGTTTGAGCCATTGGGTGCACATGGTCCTCCAGAATGATTGGGTAGTCCTTCCCAGTGCTCATCTAGCACAAGTATTGGACCTGGGGAATCCTATGATTTGCAACTTAAACCACCACTGATCCACTCCCATGCTTCACTCTGGGCAGTTGTTATCACAGAATAAATCCCAACAGGTTTATCAGCAGCCCGACATGAAGTGGAGCACTGTTGTATTAGACTTTTTAAGGGCTTTATTATGCAAAAACAACCACCAGGATGTACTTTATTCAGCTTATTACATGGCTACTTGCCACAAGGCGTAAAATTTAGACACAAAACGGAGCCTTAATATTTGATTTATTCTTAAACTAATGGCAGGTCACGACATGATGCTGGTGGAGGGAAACGTTTCCTGACTCACTCCTCCAAAACACCCCAAAGTGGCTCAATAATATTTAGGTCTGGTCACTGTGCAGGCCATGAGAGATGTTCAACTTCACTTTCATGTTCATTAAACTACCATATCATTAGTCTTGCTGTGTGTAGTGGTGCACTATCATCCTTATACATGGCACTGTCTTCAGGATAAAATGTTTGAGCCATTGGGTGCACATGGTCCTCCAGAATGATTGGGTAGTCCTTCCCAGTGCTCATCTAGCACAAGTATTGGACCTGGGGAATCCTATGATTTGCAACTTAAACCACCACTGATCCACTCCCATGCTTCACTCTGGGCAGTTGTTATCACAGAATGAATCCCAACAGGTTTATCAGCAGCCCGACATGAAGTGGAGCACTTCATTTGCTTTATTATGCAAAAACAACCACCAAGATGTACTTTACTCAGCTTATTACATGGCTACTTGCCACAAGGCGTAAAATTTAGACACAAAACGGAGCCTTAATATTTGATTTATTCTTAAATCAAAGGCAGGTCACTACATAATGCTGGTGGAGGGAAACGTTTTCTGACTCATTGTCCAAAACACTCCAAAGTGGCTCAATAATATTTTGGTCTGGTCACTGTGCAGGCCATGAGGGATGTTCAGCTTCACTTTAATGTTCATTAAACTACCATGTCATCATTCTTGCTGTGTGTATTGGTGCATTATCATACTGATACACGGCACCTCCTTCAGGATACAATGTTTGAGTCATTGGGTGCACATGGTCCCGCACAATGATTGGGTAGTCCTACCCAGTGTTCATCTAGCACCAGTGTTGGGCCGAGGGAATGCCATGATTTGCAACCCAAACCACCACTAATCCACTTCTATGCTTCGCTCTGTGCATGCAACAGTCTGAGTGGTACCCTTTTTTGGGGCTTCTCCACACCATAACTCACCCGGACATCTCTTTCAGATAGCTTCCTCTTGCGTCCACAGTTGTGCTGATGTGTGTTTGTGTGTGTGTTCTCCAGGATCAGATGTGCTGGTGTTGTCGGCTCCAGCGTTCTCCTTCTGTTTCCCGCTGCTGCAGGCTGTGTTGAGTCAGAGCAGCGGATCCTCAGAGGAGTCTGAGCTCATGATGACGCGAGCGCTGCAGGTCATCAACACACACGCACAGCTGCGGGCGCAGGACGACACCACCGACACCTTCATAGATGAGGTACGCTTCTAAAATTAACTAGATGCAGAGTTTTGATGTGATGATCTTTCTGTTCCCATGAGGACTGCGGATTCACTGCTATCATTCAAATGCCAACTCAAAACCCATCTCTTCCGCAAACACTTGAACTCTTCACGTTGAATCACTAAATGCCTCATTTGTAAGGTGCTTTGGATTGAAACGTATGGTAAATGACTAGATGTAAATGATCAACTCTGCATTTACTGAAGTCTTTCAGATCATTTTGACCTGAATTTATATTGGGATTTAATTCTGTGAATTTGATTGTGTATTAAAATATTTGTAATTTCAGTTCTAAGCTACGCCTACTACTACTACTAATAAATATTGTTATTATTATTTGTTATAAATATTATTATTATTATTATTATTATTATTATTTGTTATAATAAAAAAAATATTATTATTTTGTTTCATATTTAAATTAAATAACTAAAACTGGTATGTCTGATCCTGTTGTTGCAAGTATGTATGTTGTTGAACTAAATTAATAGTTAAAATGTTTTTATTATGTATATAATAAAACAAACACACATACACACACATATATATATATAATTAACTATATTATTAATATTATATAATTATAATAATTTAGTTCAACAACATACATACTTGCAACAACAAGATCAGATATACCAGTTTTAGTTATTAAATTTAAATATGAAACAAAATAATAATTTTTAATATTATAGCAAAAAATGAAAATGTTAATAATCTAGATTAATTTCACTGTAATCCTGGAATTAATTTAGATTAATCAAGACTTAAATGGCTCATTTGAATTGTGCCGAAGGCATTCAGAATATGTGTGCTACCCAAATAATGACTAAGTCTTTGAAAACTCAAGCCAGGTGGCGCATTAGACCAAGGGCTCATCTCCTGTTTCCAAAATGCATCACAAACTGCTTGAGAAACTGTTCTACTGTGATAATTGGGGATGAAAATAAATGTTCAATAAGATGTGCTTGTGTCTACTAACTGTTTATTCAGTTAAACATGAATGTGGAACTGTAGTCGTACATAAGCTCTAAACAGCAATTTTTGATCACCTTAATCCGACTAAAGTCATAACTGAACTAAACAGAAATGGAATTAAGACATGTGGAGTATGCAGATATTAGTGGGATTATTAAAGTTAACACCGCGATCAAACGATTACCATCATGAAGGACTTTTCGCCATATTTTCCGACAAGATCCACACACAAGTTTTTTTCTTTCCATTTGGCGTACGTTATTAAATTCCATAACACTCTCACCAGTCCTTACTCCTTATTTGCGTCTAATACCCCAGTTTTATCATGGGGGCATGAATGAATTGTTCATGAGTGAAAGTGAATCTGCCAAACTGCAGTCCCCCAAAATTACAGGAAACTCTTACATGAAAGCACTTCAAGTAAACAACTTAATTATATTATTGTCTGTTAAGGCAAAAAAGTAGATTACAGATGTCCATGTAAGCGTAGTCAGTGTGTCTTCGAACAAAGTGAAAGATCCAGAAGGGCATCCTGTTGATTTGATTCAGAAGGGCACTGGTTTGTCAAACGGCTCACCAGTCAGGTATACATCCGCTCTAAAATATCAAGGTAAAAGTCATCATAGCTTGTGTAGAATAGACCCAGCTCCCAACCCAACTTTGAGAATAGATTAACGGCAAAAAAAATTGTATCCCCCGATAAGAGTCTTATTGATAACGACCCATTGTTATTAGTAGTAGTAGCAGCGTAGACCCGAAATTACAATTATTATTATTATTTGTTATAATTATTATTTAAATTTTTTCTTTTAATTTCTGTATGCTTTGTGTGCCTGCTATTATAAGAAGATTTCCAACCAATAAAGTGTCATATGTGGATGTCTCTGGTATTTCTGTCTATGTCTGAATATGATTAGTTGTATAATTGTTGGTCCTGTGTTTGTGTCCAGAATGGCCCAGAGCTGCTGCCGAGGGTCAGTATGCTGCAGCTGCTGACCAAAGTGATCGGGACGTCCACTCCTCGCCTTCAGGTAGACAAAACTCTGTGTCTGTGTCTGTCTGTCTGTGTGTTTGTGTGTTTGTGTGTGTGTGTGTGTGTGTGTGTGTGTGTGTGTGTCTGTGTGTGTGTCTGTGTGTGTGTCTGTGTGTGTGTCTGTGTGTGTGTCTGTGTGTGTGTGTGTGTGTGTGTGTGTCTGTTTGTGTGTGTCTGTGCGTGTAGGTCGGGTCTGTGCGTGTGGGTGGTGTATAATGTATGGGCATATAACTTTAAGGGTCACACTTTACAATAAGGTTCATTAGTTAATGTTAATTAATGCATTTACTAACATGAACAAACAATGAACAACACATTTACCACAGTATTTGTTCATGTTAGTTAACGTTAGTTAATGAAAATACAGTTCATTGTTAGTTCATGTTAACTTATGGTGCATTAACTAATGTTAACAAACATGGACTTGGATGTTAATAAGTTAATAATGCATTAGTAAATGTTCAATTGTAATTAATAAATGCTGTACGTTTCTTGTTCATGATCAGTTCATGTTAGTAAATGCATTAACTAATGAAACTTATTGTAAAGTGTTACCAGTTTATGTATAGTATCTGTAGTGTGTGTTTGTAGTGTATGTTCAATTCAGTCCAAGTGTATTTGTAGAGCGCTTTTTACAATAATTATTGTCTCAAAGCAGCTTTACAAAAGTGCACATTATTGCATTACAATCAAATTAAGTTAGTTAAAATCATAAATAAGTTTTTACCAGGGCTTGACATTAACTTTTGCAAAAAACGTAGGTGAAAAACATACTGTGTGCTAATGAAAGGATGATCACATGCACACGGTTAAGGCCAATTGATAATCTGTTCAAAGCAAAAGCAACCGGTGCTGCTTACAAAAACACACAGTTGGAGCTCTTGAAAGCAGCAGGACTGTGGGTGCATTAGTATCACTTTTTGTCTGTTCTATATGAAAGAGAACTGATCACAGTTGTGTTTCAGGCACGGTTGCTTCAAGCAAAGAAACAGGAGCGAGTACACGCTTTAAAGAGCCCATATTATACATGAAATAGGGTCATATCTTGGTTGTAAGGGTCTCCAACAACAGTCTCATATGCATGCAAGGTCAAAAAACACTTTCATGGTCTTATAATCTGCATTTATTTTTACCTAATTATCCCAGCGACTCCTGTATGAATCGTCCAGTGATTCATTTGTTCCCAAACCCCTCCTTAGCGCGAAGCTAATCTGCGCTGATTGGACCGATAACCGCCTGTTGCGATTGGTCGACTGCCTTCAGTCAGAGAGTGAAATGGCCAATAGCCAATCAGCAATATAAAAGTAATCACAGTTCATACACGCTCGATAGTGTAGGCGTGGATTTTAGCTGCCACACACACACAAAAACACACACACACCTCCGGACGACAACGCTCCCGCACCCGCCAGGTTTTAGCCTGAGAACCCGCTCCGTTTTCTGCCAGCCGCGCCCGATCTCGCTAGAGCGGGGGAGAACACAACCAAAAGTCACCCAGCTATACAGTCCAGACAGCCAAGATGTCTGTATAAACACACACACAGCACCAAGCACACAAAGCTTGCTCTCGCTCTCTCTCTCTCTCTCTCTCTCTATCTCTCTCTATCTCTCTCGCTCTCGCTCTCTCTCTCTCTCTCTCATACGCGCGCGTGCGCACTAACACACACAAGCACACTCTCTCTTTCTCATTCGCATAGCAATATCCGTGATATTGCTAGACAGCCCGCTCCCGTCCCAAATTAAACCCGTTACCGACCGCTCCCGCGATTTATTCGGAAATTTATTCCCGCGCCGCAGAAATCTGCACAACTCTACCTCGGAGCTCCGTCAACAAAGCAGCACGCGTCGCGTTTTTAACGTGACTTTGCACGCGATAAGAGAATATAGCCAGTTAACCTGATACAGTACACGCGGTTACAAGTAACAAATCACAACTAAATACATTTGCAAGCTAGAGTCAACGAGGCAACAACTTTAATCGCACGTACTTACACTTGAGAAATGGAGGAAGAAACCCATCCTGACGTCCAGCAGTAAGTTACTCTTTACTGATCCTTCCTTTAACAAATTCAGATGAAGTATTCTTTGTAGCATGTAGTTTCCAGAAGTTTCCAGTAGTTTCCAACTGCTTGGCTATAATGCTGATGTTTCATCTTTGGGTAGAGACTCGATATAATATCCATCTGCAGTGTGACTTCAATCGACCGGCATGTTTGTGTGCGTGTGTTTGTGTGTGTGTCTGGGTTTCTGCATCAGAGGGCGGGGCCTCAGGTTTGAAATCTCCCGGGTTTGCGCGTGCACGTGAATAACTTGGTTTCGTTCGTACGTCATGGCGAAACACCTAATGACTCGGTATCAAGGCGACTCGTTTGAAGCACTATGAGTCGACTCTTTTATAGATGAATCAACCGTTTTAAACGCTGTACTCTTACAGATTTAAGCCTTAGCTGGATATTTCACTTCACTTAGAGCTGTGTTACACACTACATGGAGGGGAATTTTCAAAAACCCATAATATGGGCTCTTTAAACAGTCGCGCTCATCACATCAGCTGTTAGCGTGAGTGATCATCCTCTCATTCGGGGATTCACCTGCTTTTTATTGCTCGCGGGAATGCAATTATTTTTGTTATTCGTGCTGTTTCTCGATTCTTAGATTACAGTTGCGCGCATATTGGGTCATCCATGTAGTCGAGCCCTGCTTTTAAGTAAACTACAATTTAAAAATGATTTCCAACCAGCCAAAGTGGCTAGTGGGAGTGACTGTCTTACCCGCCAGTTGAAATCTACCCACATTTGGCGGGTTGGCGGTTGTTAATGTTAAGCCCTGGTTATTACATACAAGGTTAACCTGCAATTTTTTAGCATATAGGTGATGTCTTTGTGCATGTTTAATGAAGTGTATTAAGTGTATGGGTTGTCCTCGAAGTGTAATCTGTTGTGTGTGCAATGCATATAGTGTGTTTGTTTTGTTTTTACAGTGTTTTTGTAGTGTTTGCGTAGTCTTTGTAATCTGTAGCGTATGCGTAATGTGTGTATTTGTAGTGTATGCATAATGTATAGTGTGTGTGTGTAGTGTTTGTGTAGTGCATGTATAATGTGAGAACAGTGTATTGTCAGTGTAGTTTGATGTATGTGAAACGTGTGTGGTCTCTGTGTAATGTGTGTTTGTGCTCAGGTTCTGGCGTCCAGCTGTCTGACAGCTCTGTGTGGCAGTGCTGGAGGTCAGGAGGGCTGTGCTCTCGCTGAACAACCTGAGATCGATGTTCTGCTGGAGGCTTTACTGTCCTCCTGTTTCTCCGTCAGAGACGCTGCGCTCCGGGTCAGTGCCTTGATCATTCTTACTTTCAAATTCCTTCTTTCAACATATGTGCTTTGACTATGCACTTGTACGCTAGTCATATCATATCCTAGTAACGATATACAGTTATAGTCAGAATTATTAGCCCCCCCTGTATGTTTTTTCCCACCAATTTCTGTTTATCAGAGAGATTTTTTTTTCCAACACATTTCTTATCATAATAGTTTTAATAACTCATTTCTAATAACTGATTTATGTTATGTTTGTCATGATGACAGTAAATAATATTTCGGCTGGCGGTGCGTCGGGCATTTTTTGAGACTCGAGCGAACAGTGCACACGGCGCGGCAACTGATTTGAGTGGACTATGATACACTTTGGGTGCTTTCACACCTGTGAATCGATTCAGTTGTTCCGAAACAGAGATTAGAATTGTTACATTGTTGCTCTTTGCTCTTGGAGCGGTTCGCTTTCACACTGCAAAGTTTCTAATCGGACCAAAAGAGCTAAAACAAGTCACGTGTGAGTAAACTCTCCTCACATTGGTCAGAGTGTCAGGGTTTATTTTGCAGCGTCCCGCTCAGCTGTCAGGAGGTGGTGGTTTGGTGGTGATTGACAGGGTGCGCGCGCGTGACGTGTCTGAGGAGAGACACGGTGGGGAGGGGTGAGAAGGGTGCGCGATGATGCCTATTTGAGGACTGGGAGAGAGACACGAGATTACCGGGAGATCATCACTCGTTTGCGGGCATCCGGAGACTCGCGAAACTTCCCGCCTTACTCATAATTCTCTCTTCATATAGCCGTAAGCCTATTACATATCCATAAAACACTGTGATATAACCGCGCCACCACCTCATTCAAGCGATCTCAGAGCGATTACTTTAGCGCGGAACAGAGCGCGATTGCCCTGTTCACATATGCCAATCGAACCGCGCTAACTGGGCAAACGAGATACGTTCCGAAACAAAAGTGTAGGTGTGAAAGCACCCTTTGAAGAGATTTTGTCTGAAACATTACGACTGTACACACATCTAATGACCCTAATCAGAGAGATAACCTTATGATCAATAATACTTGGCTAGAAATAGCAACAGCTGTGGGAAAGGAGAACGTTTTTGTTAAAAGGTTTGAAAAAACCTGAAGAATAAATTTATTAAAACCAAAAGAGGCCATGGCAAAAGTGGAGACCAGGTACACAATCACAGAATATGTTTTTCCACCATTTATAGGTTTTACACTGATGTATTTTGTTTTAATTTTGAATTTAAAACAGTTTAATAGTTACAAAACTAAAATGAAGTCACAGAAGTATTTCTTTGATAACTGGGAAGGAATGTTTTAACCTATCAGTTTACAATATACTGATGCCCTGTTTCTCTGGGCTTTATTGGTGATAATGATCTGTAATGTTGGACCATCATTGCCTTTTTAGCATAAGAGGACAGAAACTAGCCAGACAGTAATGTGTGAATTGTGGAGCGGGCTAAATCTAAAAAAAAAAAAAAAATCTATATTTTTTAGTAAGTGTGCTTTTTTTTTTTAAAACATAAGCTATATTTGTAGAGTAACTCATGTTCTTTTGTCATTAATTACAAATACAGAGTATGTTTTTCCACTGGTAACACTGATTTATATATGTGTAGAACAGGCTAAATCTGAAAAAAAAAAACTTTTTCTAAAAAAAAATCTTTTTCTTTTTTTGCTTCTATTCTTGCCATAATAAAAATATATTCGTAAAGCAACTCATGTTCTGTTGTCATTAATATTATAATAAACTTTAAATGGTGAAACTGTCCTAGATATGAACAAAAGCAAGTGATTTGATAAAAAAAATCTTGAATTGTTATAAAAATGCTTACAATCATTAAAATAATTAATAAAAACAATAAAAAAATCAATAGTTTAAAAATATTGAACGATATTAAGATATGATGTAGTTCCGAAAACTTTCTACTTCTCTGTCGATCCGTCTGACTTTACGGTGGGTTTCTTTTGACCGCCCCCTGTCGTTTTAAAGAATATCACAACGGTGAACGCGGCGAGTATAAAAGCCTCGGCCGTTTCGCGAGGTGCGCGCGCAGTCAGTGGAGGTGTGCGATGCGGCGCCAGGCGCGAGTATAATTCCAGCTTTAGAAACCTGCTCAGCTACTGACTACAGAAGTTAGTCAACAGAACAGTTTCTTTAGCATGAAAGCATCATCTGAAGACAAAGGCAGAGTCGTTAAAAGTCAGCCTGTATCATTTGCATCACTCTGAGGCCCCGTTTACACTAATGCGATTTCGTTTTAAAACGCTTAAGTTTTGCTACGGTTACACCATCTGCCCACACTACGCTGGAGTTTTCGAGCGCCAAAAACAGAGCGTTTCGAAAACGCTGGAGAGGCCGTTTTCATTCTAAAACGCTTCTGCTCCGTCTCAGAGTGGATGGGGGAAAACTGAGACATCTGAAAACGGAGGCGGGGCTGCAGACATTCGCCTCTCTGATTGGGGCTTTTTCCTCAATATTAAGTAGCCTAACACACACAGTTCAGTCTCGCATCCTCTCCCTGTAAGTTCAGACTTCGCAAGTTTGATATGGAAAACAGACCCTCGAGGACATGTCCGGTAAATCTTCAAAGGGAACAGTGTACTTTATAACCTCATTCACTCTACCCTGGCTACGTTGTTTCACTTTCTCAACAATAAAATGAAAACATGATGTAAGGAACTGCCTATTATCATTTTGATACTAGCAACTTAACAGACAGCAGAAATGCTGAGGCATCGTGCTGCATCTTCACTGTGTGCATATTTATTATAAAACAGAGCCTACATAACATCACTGCCTCCTTTCATTTTCATTGAAAATACGAAATGTATCCTCTGCTTTGCTGAATGTCAGTTTTAATAATTAATAATGGCCATTATGAAAGTATAACGCACAATAAGATTATACATTAGAGGAAATAAAGGCAAGCGATCAGTCAATATACAGCATGTATATTGATTGATGACTGATATATTGACTATCCACACACTGGTAGTGGTGTGGAGAGACCCCCCCGCATGATTGTAAAGGGCTTGGGTGTATGGCCATACACAATAAATGTGCTATATAAATACACATTACATGTATGTGGTTACATTATTTATTAACTTATCTTTGCGCTCAGCCAAAACATGTTACCTGTGAACAAGTAATCGATTCAAAAGACCAAAGTCGGGGAATATGTCTTTAGATTTAGACAACAAGATTAATTAAATATCACGTTTAATAAATATAGTGAGATTAGATCCAGCGGGAGATGCTTGATGAGCAGTCCGACCAGCACAGCTCTCATCTGGGTAGAAATGCTGCAGCGCTTGCCCAAGAGTGTGTGTGTGTGTGTGGTCACGTGATGTGCGTTTTCAGCGTTTTGGTGTGGACAGAGAGCTGTTCAGAAATCCTGGGTGAAACGCTAGTGTGGACGCCGATCGTTTTCATTCTTAAACGCCATTTTAAAACTAAAGCTCACTAGTGTAAACGGAGCCTGGCTCAGCCAGTCGTCAGAAAGACAAAGGGTAAATGTCCCTCATGGCTGGCCTGTTATTGAAATTAAATAATTAAAAACCAAAGAACATAACTTTATTTATTATTGTTCATTTGAAACTAAATTATTTACACTTATATTTCCACACTATACATTCAAGTGATTTTAAACCATTAAACATTTATAAACATTTTTTGAGGATGTTAACACATTAGAAAGTTTCCTTCCCTTTTTAAAAACGATGTATTTTGTTTTTGTATATGTTTTTGCATTGTGTTAAGTGTTAAAGGGGACCTATTATACCCATTTACAAGATGTAAAATAAGTCTTAATGTCCCAAGAGTGTGTATTTGAAGTTTTAGCTCAAAAAGCCACACAATTAATGTTTTCTAACTCTCCGTATCTGACCCTTTTAGGCTTTAATCCTAATTGTGCTGTTTTGGTGACTGTCGCTTTAAATTCAAATAAGGCGGAGCTACAAATGTCCATGTGTCAGCATCCGCTTGTCAAGTGTGACGTCACGCGAATCGGCTTCCGGGTCCAAGCGCTCTATTTAACTGAATGGGGAGACTCATGAAATGGTAATAATAAACGTTTACAAAGCGATTTAATACTTTCGAAAATCACGATCGCAATATATTACGTCTATGCCTAATATTCGATAGCCAGAAAGTGATTTATTTTTTATAAATTGTTAAACTTTTGGTATTTGTTATGCAGCAAGCCCAGAGATTGTTGTGTACACTATGATTTTATATAAAATTAACTTTAATGTGTGATAGGAATAAAACGTGATCATAAACGAATGATTTCTCCACTCAAATGAATGGCGGCTTGGACACGGAAACAGTATTACATACGTCACAAACACGTCACCACTTAACAAGCGGATAGTGGCAGATTGAAAAACAAGACTAACGTCTTATGCTAATGAGTGAGTGATTGTCACTAGTGGGTGGGGCTTTCTCCCTCTAATGACGTACAAAGGGAGAATGTCAATCACAGTGTTTCTGCATCGTGTATTTATAAAAAATAGAATTAATTGTTTTTTACCATACAAAGCTGGTTATATTCACAGACTGATGCCACACTACTGTGTTTAAAGTGATTTTTACATAATAGGTCCCCTTTAACATTGCGATGTGTCTGCCTGCTATAGGGTCTGCTGGAGATGGAGCTGGCGTTACCCACTGACAGCACTGATGTCAATGGCTTGAAGATGTTGAGGAGGCTCTGGGTGGCCAAGTTTGATGTGGAGGAGGAGGCCAGGGCTCTGGCGGAGAAGTGAGTCATCTTGAGTCGCTACAGTCATCTTTCACACTGCAGACTCTGCTGATTCAGAGCTGGGCTTGTGCTGAAGATGTTGGCAACATGGGTTTATTTTGGAAATGGTCCATTTTGTAAACTCCTGTCCATTTGTGTCAAAAGAATTAAGTAAAAAAGAAAATGCGTTGCAAATAATAGCTGCAAGCAGCAGTTATCGGGGCCAAGCAGCCCAGCGGCCACATCATAAACAAGCATGGCAACAAGCCACAGAGCAACAGGAACATTCTATAACTTTTTGGCAGCATGGTCTGAGCAAAATTTGGTGAAAATTAGGCTAACGATCTATGGAGAGTTCAAAACAACAAGATTTTTAAACTAATTCAAGATGGTGGAAGGGAAGTTGTGTCAATTAGGGCAGTGGTTCTCAAAGTGGGGGTCGGGACCCCCCGAGGGGTCGTGGGACAATGAAAGGGGGTCGCCTGGTGATTTCCAAAAATCTATTTTTATTAAACCATAAGAATTACCATATTTTATCCATAACCTAGAAAAAAATAGTAATTTATACTGTAGTTACTATATACTACTTTATAAAGTTACTATAGTAGCTAATAGTTACTAGTTCTATTCAATTGCGATCGCTGGGGTAATTACATTATATTGAAGACACAGCATAGCTGCATCTGAAGCTATGCTTTCTGGGCCATTTACAGCACTAACATACATAAAAAAAATCTACAAAGAATAGACTTTGGTCTATTGGTGTGTGTGCACCATTGCATGCAAAGTTTTTGTATTTATAACCACCTCAGAGGATATTGGGGGTCGCGAGCCACTGGCATTGTTATTTTGGGGGTCGCGAGCTGAAAAGTTTGAGAACCCCTGAATTAGGGAATAACTCATATCAATGTTCTCTGCATGATCCAAGGAATGTACAAGACATGTACTATTGTCTCAAGACAACAGACAAAACTATTCAAAAATTAGCATTGATTTGCTGTATTACTACTGATGAAGTGTGTATTTGCGTCTCTCTCTTTTTCTATATGTCTGTGTCAGACTGTGGCAGGCTCTGTGTCTGGATCTGGTGCCGGAGCTGTGTCCACTGCTGATTGAGGATGTGATCCAGCATGAGGAGGCGGTGCGTTCAGCCGGTGCGGAGGCTTTGTCCAGCGCCGTCAGTCAGTATCAGGAGCAGTCAGCGACTGTCCTCTCACAGCTCACTCAACTCTACCATCAGAAGCTATATGTAAGGCTCTCTCTCGCTCACACACACACACACACACACACACAAACACACACACACACACATCATGACTGACAATTGAGTTTTAGCATATAAATCGCAGTTATTAGGGCTGCACAATATTGGAAAGATTTGACATTTTATATATATATATATATATATATATATATATATATATATATATATATATATATATATATATATATATATATATATATATATATATATATATATATATATATATATATATATATATATATATATATATATATATATATATATATATATATATATATATATATATATATATATATATATATATATATATAGATATATATATATACATATATATATATATGTATATATATATATATATATATATATATATATATATATATATATAGATATATATATATATATATATATATATATATATATATACATATATATATATATATATATATCTATATATATATACATATAGATTATATATATATA